AGATTTCCTGAGAAGGAGATCCTGAGACTGAATTAGGAGTGCAAAAATTTTGTTGGGGGATGACATCTAGGAAAGGAAAAGGAGGGGCAGGATAGGGGGCATCAGATCATAATATAGAATGAACAAAATCTTTGCTAGCCCAATATGAATCTGGGAGTAAAAAAGAAGTTCTCATCGGACAGAAATATGTAGGCACCATTACCCTTGCTAAGGTATTGGCTGAAGGGCTGCCGTAAGAAGTTTGTGACCTCACCTCAAAAGTTAGAGACCCTGGAAAGTGCTGACATTGTGGCCTGTTGGCTAGACACACTCCCTGCAACTGGTCAGTGAATTCTTCTTAAAGGGGTACTATTTTCCCTAGTCTGCCAAGGTCCCTCCTGGCTCCCTGTGGACCCTCTTGCTTTAACTTGTTGATGTAGTAGCATCCCCACGTGTCTGTTGGGGCTCCCTTCCTGGGGAAAAACTCAAAGAGAAAGGTTAATGGGCTTAACTATAGCCTTCATCACTGCACACAAGTGGTACTTATTCTTCGCCCCCATTATACACTCTAAATCTCCCTTACCCTCAGCTAACATCCAGTTGATCTCCTGAAGGGATAGTTCACCCCAGGACTCAGAGTTGGTCTATACTTATGTCCGTATTTTGGGTTTTGGGTTAGTCTCGCTTGCTGCTGTCCAAAGCACTAGCTTTGGTGAGTGGGTGTCTATGCCATTCGGCCCATCCATCACACCCCCTCTCACCCAGAGTGGCCATTTCATTCCTGTGTCCACTGTGCTGCTGAGAAAGGTGAGCTCAGCATCCCTGTTTCTGGAGTGGATCAGGAATTCAACCTCTTCCCTCTCCTTTACCAGTTAGGAGAATTACAGAAGGAAGATGATGTTCACTCACCTTCATCTTGGAATAGATTACAAAACTCCACTGCATTTACACTCGCCAAATCCTAGCCCTAGTGGGTCAGATCTACGCTAAGGATAGTTTTTTACACATCTAGGTGTATCTCTCTGGGAAGAAGTCATTGTTGTTAATCAGAATCTGTATTACACTTCCAGAAATGGATTTTAAATATAACTTTTCACACATCAGTAAGTTCTATAGATGGTTAATTGTTCTTAGTTCCTCCCTTATAGTTTTAGTGCATTTTCTCAGGGATTTTAAAGTTTCTGTGTCCCTGTTCCAAATTCCTTACTGTTCATCTGTGCTCTGCAGATGGGCAGTGACATATGTATAGGACAGGAAAAATATTTGCTTGCTCTTACCAGGAATTACCTGGATTATTCATACATTTACATGGGGATCAAAAGGCGAGCACAGGTTTCTTTTTTTTCTTTTTTCTTTTAGGGTTTTCATTTCATTGTAGTAATATGTAGGAGTGCCTTATGCACAATCCTAAAGTCTACACCCAGTTCTAAAGCCTCCCTATGCCACTTTTATCCTGCACAGTGTTATTTTTTGCTAAATTTGGCTGCCTCACCCAACTCTGCTATGGCCTTTTAAAATAGAAAGGTTTCCTAAGGCGAATGATTTCTTTCTAGTCAAGGGGAAAAACACCACAGGGTACCAATGCCCAGTTTTAAGAAGGAAGAAACCTATGCCCCCCGGATATCTGAAAAACTTTCCCAAGCAGACTAAATTCTCCCAGGGTATTGTTTCACTAGAACACAGCACTTGAATCAGTCTCTATGTTAATAGACAGGAGGGAAAATTTCCAACAGATCTTTTGGCAGATAGTTTTGATTACTTTCTAGTAGAAAATTTCAAAGGTTTTTTGCCAGATGGAACATGGGGAATAAATGAGAACTGGCATGACCAGCAAACCCTTCTGAACAAATAATAAAGCCAAAAGCAGTGACAGCCAATTTTTCAACCTGAAATGCTCACAAATTAAATTCCCTGGGTCACTAGCTAATAGCAATATTCTGACAAGCTTTACAGTATCCTTTTAAGACACTAATGTAAACTTGACTTGAAATCTCCCACATTAAAATTCTCTTCATTTGACAGAAAATATTTTTTCTCATTTTTGGTAGCACCAACTGTCATTGGGCCTGTGGTTCTGTGCAGTCATTTAAAGAAACAAGTCTAGGGAAACATTGCTGAAGGAAGATAAGAGACAAGCGGAGGACAGAAAGCTCTAGAATGACTGTCCAAGAAAGGGGCTCAGGCTAAGTGGCAAGAGGGTCACAGACAGGTGAAAACATTAAAGAAGAATGTCAAAGTATCCATTCTGCTGAAACCAGGTAATTCATGTTCATGCTATAAGAAACCTGATGGGATATTGATGTAAACAGCTCTGAACCTAGTAACGATATTGGTATTATTAAAAAAAAAAAAAAAAGGATTTACTTATTTATGCATACAGAACTGAGGTACAGGCCAGAGGTGTGTGTGTGGGGGGTGAGAGACACTAGAGACAGTGGGGACCAGAACTCCCCAGATTGACTAAAATATACTGCTGAGGGGAGCAGTGGGAGAGACAGTAGAGGTCTGTTGTGCCATGTACGTCACCTCCCTGGCTGGGGATCAAATTCATGCTGCAGCGACTGCCATAGCTTCATACTGCCGTGCTTTAATACACTGCATCACCAGGGAGGTTCCACTGGTGAGTATTATCTCAATTTACTGGTGAGAAAACTGGCTAGTGGGAACACTTTTTTTTTTTTACTTGCAAACTAGTTTTGGCATAATTAATTAAAAAAAACAAAAAATAGCGAAAGCTTAGTTTTCATATTATTATATAGACAAAATAACTCTCAAATCAGAGTGGCTGCAATCCCTCTGGTGACAGATATTCAATGTCCTGCTGCTGGATGGGCAGATAGGTTTTCCAAAGGCAGTAGCAGCTGAATATGACTCATGCCAGATGCTATTGTTATAAAATTGACATCAATACTCCTCCATAGAAATGGGTAGTGTATCCCCTCTCTTTGAACCAGTATTTCTCTCATGTTTCTCTCTCTGTTTCAGACATGATGGGGTGAAGAGCTAAAATTCTCAGCTGGTTGGTGCCTGGCATCAACTACCGTCCAACTAATAGTGGGAATAACCAAGCCTTCAGATACTTGCACCCTGAACACTTCTAGTCTTCCAGCTACAATACAGTGTCACAGAACACAGGCAAATTGTCTCTGGCGTTTCTGAATTTCTCACCCATAGAAACCATAGGAAATAATAAATGATTATTGTTAATTTAGGACTCTTAAGTTTCAGGGTGATTTCTTAATGCAACAGATAATGAGTACACCGACTTTCAGTATCATTCAAATACAGGGTGTATCTTGTTGACTAACTTATCTGGAGGAAGCACCCAGGCAAGGGTACAACTATTAATGTACAGTGATGCTATCACACCTTCCAAACTTTCACTCTTATAAGCAAGATAATGTCCAATAACTGGGAACTGCTTAAATACATTGTAATTCTTGCATAGAATGTAATCCTACCCAACAGTTCAAAAGACACAAAACTATATATTAACACAGGAGTTTTTATTTTGGATTATTAGTTGGAAAATCAGATTTAAAATATTTTATGCATAGAATCTCATTCCTTTGGGATTTTTTTCTCCCCTCTGGGCATCAAAGAGATTATCAGCCTGTGCATCAAAGTTATAATTGCAGGTAAATCTCATAATAAAGTAAAATAAGTTGTTTCTATTTTGGAAATTATCAAGAGAAAATTCAAAGCATTTGACTTACTAGTTTTTGATGGATTAATCTCTGTGCCACGCTGGGTTTGACACTGGGTTTCATTTTCTCCCTTCCTTTATACTGCACATATAACTTACATTTTATTTTAAAGTTATTGACCTAAAAGAATGGCTGCAAAACAGGCTCTTTCAGACATGCCTCTTCCTGTTAGGAAGACAGGTGTGTCCAGGTTGACCTTGTATTTGTTCTCCATTTCAATTTAGGCCATGGTATACTGAAGTGTATCCAAGCAAATAATGAAGAACTCTTAACTATGCGTGACTTGTGTGGACAGAATTTCCATTTGACTTTAGAAAGACCCACAGAGTAGTTAATAGCGCCCTATTCCTTGAGATGGTAAGAGAAAATCTACACATTGGAAAATACTCCAGTTGAGTTGTAAACAAGAAACTCATTTGTACTTAACATTGAAATAATTTGAAATAAAAATATGTAACACTAATTGTTAGTATAGTAAATAATATGATAATAACTTAACCACTTAAAAATTAAATATTTCCCCCCTAGGAATAGAAGTATTGGTGTTGTGAAAGCCAACAGTTAATAAAAAGTAAGTAGGAGTGCTGTTGGAAGGTGACA